AAAGAATCAAGTTATTACAAAAAAGAACTTTAAAAATCAACCTATTACCAAAAAAAAATTGAAGGACCTCTGGTGTAATTTTACCTTAAATCTTCTTCAAACTTATGTATTAATAAAATCTTTTTAGCAAATATTACTTAATAATATTTTCTAAATAATACATCAACAAATCAAAGACCAATCTTACACAGATTCACTCACAAATCTTAGTCTGCAGACTGAGGTCAGATGTTACACACACATGTTAAAACATATTGTTCCACATGTTGCCTGATAGTCATGCTAGAACATATTTCACATGTTGCCTCTGTACAAAATACATCTTGTTATATATTTTTTTACCTAATACAGCCAATCAAAAGGAACAACAAGTCTGAAAAAATGTGTTGACATGTCCAAATTAGGATGAACACCTCTTGGTTGAATTATCACTTGTTGGTTTAACCTTCTTAGGAGCACCCTTTATTTTAACTGATTCTATGGGTGGTTTCAAATATGTGGTTTCTAGAAAAGGTATCTTCATCGGCTGCTCTTTGATGTGAAGTTTTATGTTATCGTCAACTTTAAAAAATCTCTTTTGAATCATCTCTTGTTCTCTCATAATAGATGTATTTTCTTTACTCTCCTTTACCATACCATCATCAGATTGGAGCTTTTTCTATTGTCTGTAAACTCCATCCATACGTATGGGTCTATCAAGTTTCATCTTCTTGAAAATTAAGCAAGCACACGGAAGACTGTACGTTCACCTAAGTGTGCAACCACACTTTAAGTTATCTGAATGTGTTTTCTCTGCTCATTTAACTTCATGATAAATAAAATTCAATCTCGCTTGATATAATATTTTCAACCAACTATCAATAAAGATTTTTGTCTCTGAATCTATGTTCTAATAGCATGGTGCTTTGATCAAATGATGTTTGAATCTCGTTATGCTGGTCTGCAATCATTTGGTTCATTAATTCTCAACACATATAAATAATTTCTTTACTATTTTCCAATCAATTCTTTAATGTATCATGAGCATATTCAACTCTATTAATTCTAGTATTTCTAAAGTGTCTAATTTGATCAGTCCAAACACAAATAATCTTGTCTTTTATCTGATCCAGAATTGTGCTTTAAACATATTTTAAAATTTTTGGATATGCCACGCATATACTTTGGTACAATATGACAAACTAGACATATAATTTCTCTTTAGAAGAATTTATTATAACATTGATATCCATTATACTTTTTGATACCATGCTAAATTTGACCATTTTTATGTTTTCACCCTTAATTTGTTTGATCCCTACCACAAACTTAAGTCTACCTCTCACTTTTTTGTTATATGATACCTACATAGTAAATTATATGACGTAAGAAATACATGTAGCTGAATTCATTAGTGTGATATCGTGATCAGTAGAAATCACTTGTAGCATGTTTTCTTAATCTTTTAACGTAGTCTGACAATTTCAAAGCCCCGTGTAACATTGTTCTCTTTTTTACTTTCAAAAAATGTAAACTCAACTGAAAAATCATATATGTAGAAGTAACACCAATAATTCTAGAAGTGATAGCTTGTATTTGTTGATCTTATATATTGAAAAAATTATCAACACAAAAAAAAAATGTGTTGAACAACTTGATAGTTTGGATGATTCCAAAAAAATTCTTCAATTGTTTTTCCATCAATAATCATCATCCAACAGTTTCAACAATTATGGCATTTTAAATCTTGAACATTTTATCGTCTTGTTATTTCAGATGCAAGCGTAGTATCACTTGTCTAATATTTACGATAATTTTGGATATTTCTTTTTAAAGTTGCGAGTATTGTTTTTGAGGTGAACCATGATCAATGTCATCTCAGACAAGTTTCAGCTTTTCAAAATTCAAACAATATATAATAGAATAATCGACGGACTTATAACAAAAGGCGTGATTACGTATACAATAAACCACATTAAATGTCTATGTATTATTTATCTTATGTAACTTGGACAACTTAAAAGAATATTCACAATTCTTCGTTTTTGTGTCATCATGTTTCAACTTTCAGATAGACTCTTCGTACTTGCCACTTCTTTCATATCTCTTTGTCACAGATGTATATTTTCTATCAAAATCAAAATTTGACCTCCTAATTATAATATGAATCCCTAATTGACAGTCTCCGTACGTACCCATTAAAACATATATTCACGCATAACAAACTCATGTTAATTTGTAAATTCTTTTTCAACATCTACATGGACATATCGAATTAATATTCATAAATATATAGCCTAAGAGACAGCAGCATAGTATATCATAATTACAACTAACCATAACAGAAGACAGTTTAAAATTCAACATCGAAACAGTCTGGATTTCAATTTTCAACACAATTAACAAAATCTAAATTTCAAAATCCAGACGCAACATACAAATTTGAACAAAATAAACCAAAATTATACCTTTTTTTCTCCTTTTGATGTCATGTAATACATGAGTATGTTGTTTTGAAGTTAAGATTTTGAATGAGAATGAAAAAAATTACTATAGTGAATATCAGAGATGTACATGAGTTGGGAAAACTCATTAAACCCTGTCAAACTCACTCAAACCGATTCAAAAAAATGAATTGGATTGAATTATTGGGTGAATACGATTTTCAAAAATGAAAACCCATTCAAAATAATTAAGTTATAGTAAACACACATCCAACCCACAAAACTGATAGATTATTGACTGACTATTTTTTGTAGTTTGATAAGCAGTGACTTTGATATTTTTGATCTTGATTACTTTAATTTCAACCTTTTAAATATATTTTACTTTTTAAGTGATGATTTTAACATTTAAGATGCCACGCTTTAATTATTTTTATGCTAATTTTTGTAAGTTATAAATATTTTAAAAAATTATAGGTATTGATTTTTACAAATATATTTATGATAAATCTTATCAACTTAAATATTTAATGTTTAAAAAAATAAAGGTAACATGTTAATTTATTTATTAAAGAAAAATGTAACACATTAATGATACGGTAGGTGATTATTTTACCCCACTCAAATCGATATACCATATATGGGTTGAATTATGATTTTGACTAAATTAAACTCAAACCGACCCATATCCCCGGTGAATACCACCTAAAATATATTGCTCTAATAATGACACATAGTTCTGACTAGTACTATCACCAAACCGCATTATTTAATTAAATACTATTGTTAAATGAAACGATTATTTCTTTACCGTTTGCAAACAAAACGATAAAAGTTTGATAGCATAATATATGAAACTAGGCTTTCAATGAGAAAAGAAACTAGACCAATTTGTGCACCCAAGTCAGGGGAAAATAGTTTTGGCACACTAAGTACTACAGCTCAATAAACGAAATTTTTATTTTAAAAAATCAGTAGTTGAGTTGACTTGGTTACAAAAGAAATTAATCCGGTGACTAAACAAATTAATCCGGTGACTAAACTAATATTAATGGTTCAGTCATACAAATTCTTCAATAAAAATTAACATAATTCATTTCATCGATCATCAACTGATCCAAATACAAATGCAGAGCATAGTCCTTTGGTAAATGAGGTGCTCGTACAAACAAATATATAATAGGACGAGATAGCGCTTTACAAAAACAACCCTTGTCTCTGATTTATATAATTGGAAAAGTTTAGGTTGGATAAGAACACCTAAGGAAAAGCCTTTAAGTTCAAAGCGTATAGTGGCAAAGATAACTTAAATATTACTCTACCAACAAAATATTCACATGTAAAATATTAATTCACTTGGGCAAAATGAATCAGACAACTAGAATAATATACCAAAATAAACAATCAAAAACACAGCTGCATAGACTATTAAAAAAACCAGAGACAACTTAATCTTCTTATAGATAGATAGATACATTATATCAGCGTGGAGGATATGAACATATCAGCGGCCAGCGATTCAATGGGCATTATTTATATATAATATAAAGTTCAAGTAAATCCTGACTTTGGAATGAAAAAGAAAAGTGAGCTGATATCACTCGTCACACAAACAAAGTATAAGAACCATAACGAAATAGCAACCCCTAAACACATGTGGGTACATACTGGAGCATGCCCGACAACACCATTAGCATATCTTAATATCCAAACTTCAGACAACCACTTTAAACCTATCAACTTCCCCAATTAGTCTGAAGCTTTGGGGAAGAAAAGGGCTAGCACTATGTACCATAGGCAGCTAGATTGGTGGTAAAATTTCTTACATTACAAATGCACCATTATGACACTTCCAGAAAGTGAACAAACCATATGCATACCCACCAATCCCAGAAGATACACGCTCCACAAAAACTGGATAATCTTTTAATTATCACCTTCTACTATCCACCACCAACCAGAAAAGGCATTTACTTATGAACTTTGAACCGTAAACATGTTTACTTATCTTCCTTCCTTTGGTCTTTAGAGCTCAGTAAAAACTGCAGTAATTTATAAGAAATTATGCTGGGTTAATTCACCAGTAAACACAACAATCAATCAACGGATCAGGAATTCAACAAAAGCAGTTGCAATTCATTGGATTTTCCAAAACCAGGCAAACACAGGCAGCGGTCAATCAGACACATAAGACAGTAATTTGAAAGTTCAGTGAAAGTATGTTTGACATCAAAGACAAGCAGCAATCAATCAGACACAACAGTAATTTGAAAGTTCAGTGAAAAAGTGCATGTTTGACATCAAAGACTGTCTAAATTTCAAGCTCATAAGTAAGACAGATATCATTAGCATCAAGATTAATTTGATACCCACCTTTTGGAGTAGCAGTTCCTGCAATAAGTCTAGGCCAAATATACTCCAATAACATTCCCTGACAAAAGGAGCTGAGTTGGAATATTTGTAAGCACCCTTCAAGAACCTCCAGTATGTAAATTGTGTTAGTAATTCAATAATTAAACACAAAATGTATCCAACAATTCAGACTAGAAGCATACCATCAACATTCATAAATCGAAATCACACGAAGTAACGACCTGTCCAGATTGACTGTCCTTGATATTGCTCAGGCAGTGGAGTAAAGTGTTGATTTCCGTTTGTGATTGGTTGCTGTGGCTGATGATGGTGTGCACTTAAAAGCTCAGTAGTATGATAATCTTGCCAACCATTCTGTTTGACCCCCTGCAGTGCAGATGGAACTTGTTTTCCAGGAAAAGGAAAGCAAACTGCCCCACTCGAAATATTATTAGTTACTTGATGGGGATTAGATTGAGTATAAGTAATAGGACCATTGGGGCCTGAACCTTTGGTTGATGCAGGCAACTGATATCCATCCAACCAACTGTAGTCATCCATAACAGGATTCCCACTAATTGAATCTGAAACTGTAGATTCCATATCAAGCCTAGGAGAAACATGACTGAAACCAGGAGGAGGTCCGCGGTGCCTAGAAGGACGGCTAACTGGAGATTTTTTCATATCAGCTTGTGAAACTGATAATGACTTCCCAGAAGAGTTATCCATAGTGACTCCAGCAGATGCAACATTATCAACTTTGGATGGAATCATAAAGTCTTCAGCTTTTGAGAGACCGTAAAATGAATTAGTCCCGGTGCTTACAGATTGCTGGAAAGGAACAGAAAGTGAAGCGTGGTTGAAGCTTGATACAGCTTCATGCAGAGGGAGCTCAGATTTTACAACATGCCCATTCTCCGAGAACCCAAGACCTTCAAAACTGTTGGCCAGAGAAACTCCCCCTTCTAGCCACCTTGAAGAATGCTGCTGAACTGGTTGAAAGCTTTGAGGCATCATACGACTAACAGAAGCAGGTAAAGAAGCTTGAAGGTCCACATGATTGGGAGAGTTGAAAGTAGAATTAACGTTAAATTTAACATCCACTCCTGAAGCTACTGGGACCGGCTCTAAACCTTTGTGAGTTACCCCTGATGAGACCACCACAACATCAGCTCGCTTCTCGGCTACTATAGGTTTAAAAACAATAACCTCATCATCGTCATCCTCTCCTTCCGGATACTGCTGGTGGTCTGACTGAACAATCCCCGACTTTGGCTTGTCTGCTTCGCTTTTTTTCACCAAATCTTCTACAATAGGTTTGCTAGTGGCAAGAACAAAATCATCTGAGATACTATGCTCAACACCAATTATAAATTTCTTTCCCTTTGAATCAAAATATATCCTCTTCTGATCAGTCCGAACAATGTTTGATAAAGCCTTTCCTGCAGCTAAAATCCTTTTGACCCGAGCTTTTCTTTCTTTTTCTCTATCACTTCCAAACGAATGCTTCCTTGAAAAATCCAAGATTGTTTGTGCAGGTATAAGTGGAACAAACCCTCTTAACTCAAAGTCCTCCCACAAAGCAAGTCGGTTATCAGTTTCCCCTTCTTCATACCTACTCATGTTACTAAAGCAAGTCTCCTCTTCATCTCCAATAGACATAGGCCCAACTGAAAGAAGCTTGTTCAAGAAGGAAATACAATTATTCCAAAATTTTGATCTAACAGTTGATTGATTCTCATCAACATCATTTCCTGCAGCAAGATCAGGATAACATGCCAACCACTCAACAAAAACCAAAATGCCCGGTAGAAGAAAACTACAAGAAGGATCCTGCAGCTGCACACATCTTTCTATAATAATACTCATCAATTCGAAAGCTGCAGTGAAGGCATTCTGAAGTAGAACAGCCCTCTGTACAATTTCTGCATAAGTTTGACCTTCAGATTCCTTCTTTGCATTATGAACTGTAAAGACAATAATGGAAATGATTCTGACAATGGCGAGGCCATTCTCAAGAGCATCCTGGCCAAAATTCAGTTCTTCATCTTGACCTGAAGACAGAAGCTCGCGCAGGCCAGTGCTAATAAGAGAGAGAACTTCAGTGAAGGTCTCAAGACTATCATCATGAAATAGGAAATATAAGAAAAAAGTCAGAATGTATCTATCCTCTATAGAGTTATATGAAAAGGTCAGAGTGTACATCAAGAATATTAACCTTGTACGAGTGAACAGGATTCCATTTAGACGGACAAAGCGAGTGCAGAAGGATTTGTAAGTCTCCTGTATGTTGGATGCTCCTTCCTTTCTAGGATATGCATCCACACCATTACCCCTAGTCACAAGTTTTGCTTCTATCTTCCCTCTTCCTTTGCCATCTAACTGTCCAGAAGATTCCTTCACTGCAATAGCTTTAACATCACCAGAGAGCTGAGAGTAACTTTGTCGATTCTATCATGGCATTAAGCTATGGGTATTAGAAAAACATAACCCTAATTCCAAAAAGATCATAGACCATATGTAACAGAAGACAAGCAAAAAAAATATTTAAAAAAAGGCAGCACCATTCACTAAAGCAACAATAAGAGGACTGAAATCAAGGGTAAATTAACTCCTCATCCCCCAAAAAGAGCCATATACCAAATTAACAGAATTTTTACATGAGAAAATATGCTACATTGCAGTTTTGAATAAATATAACTGCATGCTGGTAAGTAGAGAAATTGTTCATATAACAGTTACTGAAATAGGCTGTGCCATACTCATGCTAAGTCGGCAAGGTATTTATGATAGCAATTAGGTAGTCAAGTAATTACATAATCAGTTCCCTTCCTAATTATTGAGCTATAAGTGTATCCAGGTCTGCAATGCAAAATGGGTTGGTCCAATCTGTTATTTCAAGCAATAAAGATCTCTCATATTAACTAAGCTATAAAATTTTGATTCCTTTTGACACGCTTTCTCACTATTGATTTAAATCACTAATACTAATGTACACAGAAAGTCTACCATAGACATGTCTGCAGCATAACACTAGGAGTAGTAGAAACGTCAAACTTAAAACATCATTATTGTTAATCATTAGTTAGTAGTTACTATGCGGAAAGAAATATCAAAATTAAAAAGCAAATATAAATAGACAAAACGGGACATTGACATATCAAACAGCTGAAACTTCCAAATATAAAAAAGTTGGGTGTTTCAGAATCAACTTCAAAGTCACACTACCTTCTCAAATGCAACTATTAAATTATCTCTAGCAGTTGTAAATGGACTATCCACTGCCAGACTCCGAAAATAACGATAAATAACTGCCAGCTCATCACCAGAATATGAAGCCAACAAAGCAAGCTGAAATTTATGGATTCATCCAAACGATATACAATAGTTATAAACCACAATCTCAAAATATGAAATGTGAAAGAACCATAAAAATCACACCATATGCAAAAGTGTCAAAAACCTGATGGTGAGGATTTCCACTTAAAGGCCAGATAGACGCAGCTTGTAAATAGTAACTAGAAGCTGCAGCAAACTCGCGCTTTTTTGAGTCACCTTCACCGTACAATCCTTTGTAGCGAGCAAGATCACCCAAGTATATCAAACAACGATGACAAGATAACAAACTTTTCTTCATCTCAGCAGATTTCTTTCCATCTTTCTCCATCACAATCAAATTCTCAGAGTCCTCAAAGTAACCCAGAGGAAGCCCATTCTTGGCTTTGATTTTCATGATAAGATCGTGGTAAAACCCAGTTGCTTCTGAAAGGAATGTCTTCAACTGCTGCCTTATTTTAGTTATCCGCTCAGGTCGTACAGAACCTTTCCCACCCTGAGGTGATTTTGAGTTTGCAGAAGAAATAGCAGCATTGAAATGTGCCCTTAACTCTTCAATCCTTTTATAATGCAATACCCAAAGATTATACTCAATATTGTGCTGCTCAGAAAAAGCATGATCCTCGAGAATTATTGCTTCAAAGTTCTCACGAAGCTGTGGCCAAATATTGGGATCTGACGGAACCTGTGCCTGAGCTGATCTACGGCGTCTTTTCTCCAATTCAAGATTCTAAGTAAGAAAAAATTGAGATTCTATCATAAACTCTTACGAAGTAATAAGAAAAACAAGTAAGCCACAGCATACAAAATCAAATAATTAAGTTAGCAGACAAAAAGTTACTAAGATTTTTACTTTGTAAGCAATCAGTTTGATTAAAACATTTAAGAACAAGCAAGTGCATACAAACCAATGTGAAGCTCGCTGAAAAAGGATACATATATAAAAACCGACCAAATTTAGGCCCAAAATATGCAAAGGTTCGAAGTAACAACACAAGAGTGAAGTGATAACATCAGTGAGTGTTATCAAATATCCGCAATTGGGACTCTACGGCGGATATGCATGGCGGTTTTTAGACTCGCCCCAATGGAAAATGCCAGCCAATATTGCCAGCTTTTCTGCTATAACGGTGCCACAAAGCATACAGTATGGCAGGATTTTGGCTCTCTACCATGAACAACACAAGATAACTAACAAGGTCTAGCACTAATTCCATAACCAATCACAAAGTTAATTTTCTTCCACAATAAAGTCAACTAAAACACCAATCCATTAAACTCATTCCTCTAAATCAATCTACAAAACATACACTGCCTAGTACAACTTCCTATCTGCAGATGCCAGATACATCCTAGCAACGAGCATAACTGATGGATTATCAATTATCAATATAGACAAACAAGTCCTAATTTGGTGATCACAATTACAGCATCGATAATCAGTGCAACAGTGAATAGACAAGAGAGCAAAAGGGCAGTACCTTATCAAAAAGGTGCTGTGCACGCTCCCGCGGTGAAGGAGCAGACATCTTTTCAGTTTCTACTATCATCATCCATCAATCAAACATTTATCAATTAAACTCAATCTACGTAAAACCAACAAATTAAAAAAAAAATCAGTTAATCAAAAAAAAAAAATAACAGGATTGAATCAATAAACTCATATAATAGCAATTATCATAACACCCTCATCATCGTTAAACAAAATACATAGTAACAAAAAGTCTACAATAAGTCAACGCAACACACGTGATTATCAAATTTCTAAAACAGAAAACCCAAACCAAATAATTCGAAAAATTAAATCTAAAACAGAAAACCTAAACCAAATAATTCGATTGCATGAAATAAAATTCTACTAATGAAGGGGAAAATTCGAAGGGTATGAAACATGAAACGATGCATGATGAAAAAATAAGAACAGATCCATGAAAATCAAACATCGAAAAAACGACACATACAAAGGTAAAGCTCGAACCGAAGATCGATAAGAGAATAGCGATAAATTGGACGGGAAAAAGGGGAAAATCTTACCGGTGTGAAAGGTGTGGAGGATCGGTGGAGATTGGGTGGAAGGTGTTGGTTTGGGATTTGGCTAGGGTTTGGTTGAGAGAGAGATTGGAGGAGAAAGAGGCGTGGAAGTGGTTGTTGTGATTTGAGGGTACAAAAGGGATGTGATTTTTTATTCTTGTGTTTCATACAGGCGGTGAATGTTGAACGACGCCGTTTTGTATATGTTGGGAAGATCAAAACTTTGAATTGATCTCTCTATTCCTATCTTCTTGTTGTGCAAGTATCTAGTTTCTTTTATTTTTTAGTTTTTTTTTTTAATATTTATTTTGGAACTTTCCTAACTCAAATAAAATGGTCACGGTTGATAGACAAAAATAAAAAGGTAAAAATATAGATATCTTATTCCCCGAAAGAAAGAGCGTATAAATTATTAATTTTTAAACTTTGATTAAACACTCGTTAGAGTGATTGTCAAAGTTTTAATTGAATTTGATATTCATAAACATTAGTAGGATTTTATCAAAACAATAAAATATAAAAGAAACGACTATTTTTCTATAAAGTTGAATTAAAAAAGAATGATTCATTCAATTGATCGTCTACAATATTCTATCGTGGAAAAATTTAAATATATTTAACGAAAAAAACTGTAAGTCACTCAGAAAGTAAAGATTATGATATCATGAAAAATGTGAATGATGATACTAATAGAGAATCTCACCTTTTGTTAATGGGCTTGACATTCCTCTTTAATATAATGGTCACACGTCACAACAACAAACTCTACAATCATCAATTTTAAACAAAACACTACATTCATTGTAATTAATTTGGATGTTTAGAAATTAGGAAAAGATTTTTATGGAAACAAAATCTCAATATCGTCATTGGATAAGGGTTAAGAAAATTATAGGTTTATAAAGACTCCAAATGTGCAATTTTATTATAATGACAAATTTGATATAGAATATAATTAAATAATTAACAAAGATTTAGGGGTCAAGTGTCAATGTTTATCCATAAGAAAGAAAAAAAAATCAAAGTTGGGGCCCACAACAAGCAAACAACAACACTACAAAAGAAACAAGTCGAGTTGAATGTGTGACACATGTTAAAAGTGTTTGAGATAAAGATTCTGGTCAATAAAATGCTCGAAATATTGACCATTTATGTAATATAATTGAAGAAACAAATTCACATGAGTTTCAACACAATCATACAACATTAGACAATCATATGATATTAATATGGTTACATGACATTATGTGATATACAATAAATGCTTATGCAATGCATTTTACCCTTTACTTCATATATATAGGGTACTAGTCACTGAACTCATGACTTATTCGTGAAGGACATGCGAGCCACCTTAAGTACAATAACAATATTCCTGAGCTTTACTCCTTATGTAATAAATTATAAGCAAATTTTGCATTTTAGATTCATTGAATAATTGATGTATTTGATCTGCATATGGACCAGATACATTAATTATTAAATGAATCTAAAAAACAAAATTTGCTTATGATTTGTTAAAGGGGGGGTATAGTTTAGGAAGACATGTGAGCTACGTTACGTACTACAACATTCTCTCTAGACATCTGTAGACTCCCAACAGTCTAAGAGTACATGTGATCTACATATGCACTATAACACTCTCGCTAAAATTTAATCTAGAAGGGCATGAAAGCTACGCTCGTACTACAACACTCTCTCTAGATGTCCATAGACTATCAATTGTATAGGAGTACATGAGAGTTACATCTGAACTAAGATACATTTCCTAGATACAATCTATTCTTACTCTAGTATGATGCATGATGAATCAGACATACGTGAATTCCTCTCAAACATTATGTCCCTATTGAAAACTCATTTGTCTTGATTACCACATTAAGATCTTCATAAGGTTTTACCATACATTCACTTTTATTTCCGCATTAAGGCTTCATAATAGTTTTATCAAACCTTTAACTCGATTTCAACATTAGGGCTTCACATTGATTTTACAAAGTATCACATAATCAACAAGATTCATTGTTCAATAAGTGTTATCTCATACACTAAAAGATACATGGAAAATTCATATATTATTAACATAAATATGTCATATGATACAAACATCATTTTAATTGACCATTGGATAAAGCTTTGAACAAGCTTTCTAACACATTCGACTGTGTCTCAATCAGAGTTACGAAACTCATTTTTTTGGTGGTTTCAGGGTGTGTAACTAGTTACAAAAAAAACATAACCAGATACACATTGATTCTACCTCAAATTTTGACCAGTTTCGAGGGTGGTAATTGACTATACCCTTGTTCTGAATCAAAATCACTCAAATTTCCATCATTTTTCCAACCCTAACCCTATGGAATCAAGTCCTAACATAAGATAGAGTTGGAAACATTTTAAAACAGGACACACAAGTATAATTTCACACACATTCATGGCAAGAAATAAAATTCATAAAATCAATCATACAAGTTTCAAGAATTTAACCCACGATAATCCTAGGTTGTAATACCAATTAAAGCCTAAGAACCCCGCCCTAGGTTAAACCTAAATTGAAGAGGAAATTAGATGATGATGATGAGAGAGATTCATAACATAGAGTTTATGAATAATTATCTCGTAGAGAAATTCTCATAAGAATTAGGATGAATTCGGGGTTCAAAGGAAATCCTACTACACTAAATTCTAAACTACTAGTGTTATAGAATAATATCCGTTTACTTTGTTATTGCAGAAATTCCTCCGCAGAGCTCAATAATGGTAATAATTATACCTTTTGCAATCTCTATTGCAATCTCCTTGGTGAATTGGTTTCTCTGGAAAATAAGAGAGTGACTAGGTTTTTCTCCCTTTTTTCAAAAAAAGAAAAACATGTTTTCTCTTTTGATTCTCTTTGTCTCTTTTGTTTCTCTATTTCCATTTCTTTTCTCTATTTCCTTCTTCTCTCTCATTAAAAATATGATTTTTATTTCTTTATTTCACTACTTTTTCTCTCTATTTCTTTCCTTCTATATTTTAATCCTTTGTTTTCTCTCTACTAATTACAATTTATGAGATTACTTCCAAATAATAATAATAATAATAATAATAATAATAATAATAATAATAATAACTTTAATAATAATAACTTTAATTATAATAAGTTAATGATAATAAAATCATAAAAATACGATAAAGTTGTAATAATAATAAGAATAATACTAATATTTTAATTATTTTTTGGGTGTTATATAGGAAGTTTTCTCAATCCATAACTTTTATTTTGAGCTTATTGCATGTGATTCATGAGGCATGCCCAGTTAAAGATGACATCATAAGTGATTGTGTTGTTTTCCTCAACAAAAAAATTGTATTTCAATAGCTTTATTGACTTCAATATATTCAACTACCACGGTCTTGAGTAAGTTCTATAGTTAAACAACATCAATAACATTCATCCATAGATTATTATCTAACCCCAAGTTAATAACTATAACTGCAAAATTTGTATAGAAATATTGTAGGCCAGGTAAGGCCAAATGAGGAGGTTGAGGTAGGTCGAGATAGGTTTGTTCAATAATGGTTAAGGTTAGAGATAGTGTATATATTACATGTAAGTCAGTTGAGGGAAAGTTGGGAAAGGTTATGACAGAAGTAGTAAGGACAAATGGAGGTGATTGATAAACTAGTGACTAATCATAGAGTCATGTGAGATGGATGATTAGAATAAGTGAGGATTTATAGGGTACAAGAAAAATTTCTTATCTTTGGTTTTTTAAAGAATGATCAGATATCAACTATGGGTTTATCAAATAATACATTCATTCTTGCTAGGAGTGCATTTGTATTATCATCAACATTGGTTGAATTGGAATAGGTATTAGTCCCTTATAAAACATAAATGAAAACAAGTTTATCAAGTTAGCAAGTTTTGAGTTAAGGAATATCTAGAACATGTGATAAGGGTTGAGGTACAAAAGTCATTGGTCGAATAGATGATAGTTGAGATGTAGATGCATATGGTGCAGTTTGCATATGTGAAGGGGTGTAAAGGATGTATCTTATACATAAGGTGGTTATAGTTAAGGATATGTTTATATATTTGGAGAAGGGGATGCAAAAGATGTGATAGTCATATGTGGTAGTTGTGGGTATATGGATGGTTTAGATGAAGGTTGTGTTGCATGTAAAGGTTTGGGTGTTGGCTAGGGGGTGGGTGCGAGATGAGGAGTAGAAGGTTATTGGTTAGAAAGGATATGTGGATGAATATCATGAAGGGCTAGATCGAATGGTGAAGGTGGATCGAAATGAGTTAAGGGTGAAGTTAGTTGAATGGAAATTTTTGTAAGATCATAACATGGGTTTGAAGGTGTGAAGGCTTACCTTTCTTTTTCTTCTTCTTAAGAGGTTGAGGAGATAAATCATCCTCATCATTATTAACAATCAATATTCTACTTTTTTTCCTTATAGGGGAAACAATAGTTGTAGTAGTTGTAGTAGAAAAATTATATCATCAGCA